ACAGACAAGCTGCGAAATAAAAAGTAGTACTGTTAGCAAAACAAATACTAAGAGCGAAGGTCGCTTTGGAAGGCGAAAAACACTTACTCTAAATGAGCCGATATTTAAAAAACAGTCAGTTATTGAGAGGAATGCCTACCCCCCATCCCCCTATTTAATAAATATAATGTTCTAAGTGAGGAGCAAATTCCTAATGATAATTATATGGACACGGAAAACCAAATTGATAACTCTGAGATAACTGTGGAAAACAACCACAAAAAGAGAAAAGCGTCACCAGAAAAACCTAATGCTACTAAAAAAGCAGCAGTAGAGGATAATATTCAAAATTCAATGGAAAAAGATTCAGAGGAACTGGATGATAACGAGGCTAACGAAGCTTTCGTACAGCCCCCCAGGAAAAATCTAAGACCACCTCCCATTATAATAAAAGGAGAATTTGATTATAAAATCTTCTATGAATTCACTAAGGAAAATAATATAACAGATTATATAGCTAAAGAATCCTATGGCAACTTTACTATAAAACCAAAAACAGAAAAAGCTCATAGAGATATAAGAAAATATCTCGAAGAAAAGGAAATAGGTTTTTACACCTACCTTCTCCCATCTGAGCGCCACCTTAGAGTGGTTATAAGAGACGTTCCTTCAGGATATACTAATCAATGTGTTCATGATCTTCTACTTAACTATAACTTTCCACAAGTCATAGAAGTTAGACGAATGACCAGAAGAAGGAATGGAGAAACTATAAATCTTCCACTCTTCATCGCCACACTAAAAAGAGAGGCAAACTATAAAGACATCTATGGTCTCAGGTACATGAATAACTTCAAAGTCAGAATAGAAAATTTTAAAAATAGAACAGGCACGGTGTCGCAGTGTCACAACTGCCAAAATTTTTATCACTCAGCCTCTGCATGCCATCTCCCACCGAGATGCGTGAAATGCGGTGGAGATCACATCACCAGTTCTTGCAATAAGTTAAAAGATGAAGCACCAAAATGTTGTAACTGTGGGGATAATCATCCCGCAAGTTACAGAGGCTGCTCCAAATTTCCCACAGCTAAAAAGCAACAGCCCAAATATTTAGGAAGGACCTTCCAAAATAAGACCTATGCAGAAGCAGTTAAAAAGACAGAAACAGAAGAATTAAAAAATATCGTTAGTGAAGCTAAAAAAGTTTATAAAGATCTATGCGGCCTTGTCTCCATTGCCACCGCTGCAAACAGATTACCAGCCCTTAGTGAAGCTGTAGAAAAAATAAATGAGGAAAAACAAATAGCCCATAATGGATAGTTCAAAAATTAGATGGAAACCAATTCAAATTATGCTTTGGAATGCGGCAAATCTTACTACAAAATTTTCTGAATTTATCAACTTTATTCATGAACACGATATTGACATAGCTCTCATTACAGAGACCCACTCAAATGCTACCAACACTTTTAAGATTGTTAATTACAATACTTATAAGACTGACAGGAAAAATTGTCGTGGCGGTGGCACTGCTATCTTTGTTAAAAGAAGCCTAAAGACTACATTATTTAGCAATACTACTAAAGATGGTTTCGAGGAAACCTCAATTCTGCTATATCAAAACAATAAAGACTTTATTAAATTTACTTCTTTATATAATAAGCCAGGCAACATCATTTCTGAGGATGATATAAATTCCCTACTACCAAACAATATGAACTGTATACTTGACGGTGATCTTAATGCCAAAAATACTATCTGGGGTGCCAGAGTCAATAATAAAAATGGAAAAAACCTACATAGCATTATCAAAAAACAAGACCTCACTGTTGTTGCCTCCACCAAGCCAACCTATTTCCCGCACAACATTCACCACCAGCCTGATCTCCTAGACTTTTTCTTAGTGAACAATCATATTAATCTTAGCTGCTACACGGTTACTGAATTATCCAGTGACCACATACCGTTCATAGCGGTCATTGGGACCAGCCAAATGAAAAACACTACTAAGGCAAAGAGAGTAAATTGGAATCTCTTCCACAACATACTAATTGAGCAAAGAGAATACCCCCTGCCAAATAATGAGCCTGATGTTGAAAATAATATCAACCAACTAACAAATGATATTCAAAAAGCCTTAGATGATGCCACAACAACCATTAAAGATGCTGATGATTATCAAAAACTACCCAGAGACATTAAAGAAAAAATTCACTATAAAAACTATATAAGAAAACAATGGCAAAAGTATAGAAATCCTACAGATAAAAGAGAACTAAATAAACTTACTAAAGAAATTAAAGAACTTTGTGTTAATCATCGCAACAATAACTGGCATGATAAAGTTGCAAACCTAAATATCACTGATCAGACAATCTGGAAAATGTCCAAGGCACTTAAGACCAAAAAAGCAATAAACAAACCTATTATTTTCAATAATAGAAACATATATAGTGATGAGGAAAAAATCAGTATTTTTGCAAATACTATAGAGAAACAATTCCCATTAAATACATTCCCCAGTAATTGCTATGCAGATGAGCAAATAAACCTAATCTATGAGAACTACTTTATCAGCAACAACGGCAGAAATCCCATTGATAATGTAAATCAAGCCGAACTAAGAAATATTATTAAAAAACTAAACAACAGAAAATCTCCAGGCGAAGATAACATCAACAATCGAATGATTAAGCAACTACCACCAAATAAGCTCAACGATATCATGAACATCCTCAACGCTTGCCTCAACCTGAACTATTTTCCAACAAATTGGAAAAATGCTATCATAATATTATTTCCGAAACCAGGCAAAGATTCAAGACACCCTGAGAACTTTCGCCCTATTAGCCTGCTTCCAACCTTGGGAAAAATCCTGGAAAGAATTATCCTTACTAGACTTGAACCACTACTAACATTTCTACCGAAGGAACAATACGGCTTCAGAAAGAAACTATCTACCACAAAACAATTGATCCGCTTAATTGATTTCATCAGTGACGGAATCTACAAAAATGAGTCCACAGCCCTGCTTATGCTAGACGTGGCAAAAGCTTTTGACCGCGTCTGGCATAAAGCACTGATAACCAAGCTCATCAACCAGCAGTTACCCGACAATATCATTAAAATTATTGACTCCTACCTCAACAAAAGAACATTCCAAATAAGATTGAACAATGAACTTTCTATTAAAAAGAATATTCATGCGGGTGTTCCGCAAGGCAGTATTTTAGGACCGATTCAAAATTTAATTTACACAAATGATTTTCCTTCCTGCAACAACCAAATCAATCAAATGATAGCATATTATGCCGACGACACGGCAATAGCCATTAGGTCCCTAAACGCAAATCAAGCTATTATAAATATGGACAATCTTATGTCATCCATCGAAACATGGTGCGAAGATAACAAAATCCTGATAAACGCAGAAAAATCCAAACTAATGCTAATCAGCAGAAAAAAGAAAAAGAAAAAGTGTAATATCAGCAACAATGTTATACTATTCAATAAAATCATCCCAATGGTGAACCAAGCAGACTACCTAGGCCTCACTATCAACGACAAGCTAACTTGGAACTTACAAGTTAAAAAAGTTATCAATAAGGCCCATGCTGCATATAGTTGCCTGAGACCAATTATCAACTCCAGCTCTCCACTACCTCTGAATCTTGAAACTACGCTGTACACCATGTGCATCAGACCTATACTCACGTATGCATGCCCAGCGTGGGGATGCATAAACCAAACGCAACTTAAAAAGCTTGAAACCACACAAAACAAGCTACTGAGAAGAATCACAGGTGCCCTTTACTATCTACCGAATAGGGCCATCAGAAATGACCTAAAATTAAATACTATTAGTGAATACATTAGTAAACTGAAAATCTCATTCTTCAGTACTGCCAAGGAACCAGATCCAGTTGGTTTCAATGAACTCTTAAATAAGGAACTACTGCCAAATATAACCCAACACAACCCAATTACCTCATTCTTACTATCAGATTGCATCCTCTCAAAGCATTACAGATAATAAATCCCCCCCCCATTATTATTCTCATGGATACCCCCAGAGAGGTGAAAGGATCAGAGCAAATAAACCTAATCTATGAGAACTATTTTATCAGCAACAACGGCAGAAATCCCATTAATAATGTAAATCAAGCCGAACTAAGCAATATTATTAAAAAGCTAAACAACAGAAAATCGCCAGGCGAAGATAACATCAACAATCGAATGATTAAGCAACTACCACCAAATAAGCTCAACGATATCATGAACATATTCAACTCTTGCCTCAACCTGAACTATTTTTCAACAAATTGGAAAAATGCCATCATAATATTATTTCCGAAACCAGGCAAGGATTCAAGACACCCTGAGAACTTTCGCCCTATTAGCCTGCTTCCAACCCTGGGAAAAATCCTGGAAAGAATTATCCTAAATAGACTTGAACCACTACTAACATTTCTACCGAAGGAACAATTCGGATTCAGAAAGAAACTTTCTACCACAAAACAATTGATCCGCTTAATAGATTTCATCAGTGACGGAATCTACAAAAATGAGTCCACTGCCCTGCTTATGCTAGACGTGGCAAAAGCTTTTGACCGCGTCTGGCATAAAGCATTGATAACCAAGCTCATCAACCAGCAGCTACCCGACAATATCATTAAAATTATTGACTCCTACCTCAACAAAAGAACATTCCAAATAAGATTGAACAATGAACTTTCTATTAAAAAAAATATACATGCGGGTGTTCCGCAAGGCAGTATTTCAGGACCGATTCTATATTTAATTTACACAAATGATTTTCCTTCCTGCAACAACCAAATTAATCAAATGATAGCATATTATGCTGACGACACGGCCATAGCCATTAGGTCTCTAAACGCAATTACAACCTTTACGCGGTATAATTTTTACTGCTGTTTTCTCTGCAACCTTAAATATACCTTAAATATACCTCAAAACAACCTTAATAGCTCAAAAATACCTCAAATCAACCTTAAATATACCTAAAATTTTCGTAAGGGAAGTGTATGAAGCACTTTATCGGAAATGACTTCACTTCCAGCAAGGGATCTCATTTGGCGTAGAAAATGGCTTGGTGCCATATCGCCAAGCTCAATTCCAGCTAACAGTCTTTTAATTTTTTTGTTTTCACTTTCTGTGAATGTAGACAAAAGTCTTTCTTTTGCAGCTGTGTACTTATTCGAGGTCGCATCTTTGATCATATCCCAAATATTTTCGATAAAGCGTGGTTCCAGTTGCGCCACGAGGTAATTAAATTTTGTTTCTTCGGCTACAATGCCAGCAATCCGGAATTGAGCTTCTACTCGAAAAAACCACATTTCTGGTCTTTCAACCCAGAATGGGCGTATTTTGATGCTCACAGCACTTGCTTCCGACACTTTTTCAGGCATGCTTTCGCTAAGTTCACGTGTTTACTGACTGAACGTGTTTATTGACCGAAGCAAAGATTGTATAAGTGTAAAGATGGGAAACTCGCGAAAGTCGTAACAAAATTTGGCACAATGCCAGCGCTTCGTGTACGGCGGAGAAGTTTGTCTCCAGGGGCACAGTGCAGCGCATGCGCATTATCATCCTTATAGTTTTGGAAGGAGAGTTTGGAGAGAGAAGTACATGAGAAATCAATCAATGGCGGACGTTAATTTGACAATTATCCCTAACAAGTAAGTGCGCTTCGTATAACCTATCTTCTGTTGATTTTTTTTCTCCTTGTTTTCAATTTTGATA